TAACTTATGACAGCCACCAACTGGGAATGACACAGATGTACTTCAACAGGTGGAATAATCAGTGTACAGCCACACCACCCACACCACAGAATACTCCTCAACAACACAAAGAAACAAACTGTTGATATGTGTGAACCTAGATGAATCTCCGGAGAATTATGCTGAGTGAAAAAATAATCTCAAAGGTCATACTGTATCATTCCACTTATATAACATTCTTAAAATGAAAAATTATGCAAATGGAGAACAGATGAGTGGTTGTCAGGGGCAAAGGAGGGAGTGGTGGTGGGAGGCCATATTAGGGATCTTTTTTTTTTTATCCTCACCCGAGGACATTTTTCCATTTTTTGTACAGATAGAGTGGGAGGGAGAGAGAGGAAGAGAGAGAGAGGGAAACATCGATGTGAAAGGGACACATCGAGTGGCTGCCACCCACACGACCAACCAGGGCCGGGGACAAACTGCAACCGAGATACGTGCCCTTAGCGGGAACCGAACCCGGGTGTCTCAGGACCACAGGCGGACGCTCTAACCGCTGAGCCAAACTTTGTGGTGATGGAAATGTTCTGTTTCTTGACTGTATGCTGGTTGTGATATTGAGGCAGAGTAAAGGGTATAAGGACTCTCTCTGCATTATTTCTTACAACTGCATGGAAACCTATAATTATTTCAAAATTGAAAGTTTAAGAAAAAAAATGGCAGGTATGGGTCACATGGGTATACCTATTGCTCTATACTAAGATCTGTGTGTTTTGCTGTATGTAAATTTAATCTTAATTTTTAAAATATAATGCAGCCTCTTACCCACTAAATTACTGCTTTTCAATAAACCAGGGCAAAAGATGATCATAAGAAATTTGAGGTAAAATTTATATATTATACCACCATTTCTCATAAATATTTTTTGTGTGCTCCTTAGAGACTACCTTGAGTTAGCAGAACTTTAACAGTTCAGTTGGTATTATTTCCACCTTATAATCATAGATAGTCTTGGCTCCAATTTGAGTAACACTGTTTGAAATATGTCCAGAAGAGTCCTTAATATATTGAGTAACTTCTTTTTTTTGCCACTTGTATTAGTAGATATATTTATAAAATAATGGTAATGGTTTATTAGGGCATGGGATGTTTGATAAAGAAATCAATATTATGAAACAAAACTGCAGCTATCAAAGTTCTATTCAATGCACCATAGTAATTTTTTTTTTTTTTAGAGAGAGGGGGAGAGAGAAAGAGAGAGAGACATCAATCAGCTGCCTCCTGCACACCCCCACCGCAGATGGAGCCACAACCTGGGCATGTGCCCTGACCCAGAAGCAAACCGGTAACCCATCAGTGCACAGGATAACGTCCAACCAACTGAGCCACACTGGCCAGGGCAATAGTAATTTCATTTGATTAGGTACAACATTTATAAATTGTGAAACTTAAAACTATGTCTAATAAGAAAAACAAATGAGAAAACTAAAGATAATGGCTGAAAACATTTCTTATACATGGTCCTTAGTCATTTTATGAAAAGTAATTTTATAACTTAACTAGTAACTTAAATTTCAGTATTGCTTGAAACTTAATACTTTACAGATTCTTTGCTTAAAAGAGGAGATCTCCAGAGCATTTGAGATCTTGCTCCCTGGCGTGTCATCAGTTTGGCTGAAATAAAGTCTTACCAAAAAAAAAAAAAAAGATTTCCATGTAATTACAGAATATTTTTTTTACAATTTTTTATAATCTAGCCAGACAGAATATCCTTTCATTTCAACATTAATCCCCAGAAGTAATATTCTAGAATCATAGAATATTAAAACTAGAAGGTCCTGAAAGAAATTTTTGTTCAATCATCTCAATATATACAGGAGGAAACCAAGGCATGGAAAGGTGAAGTCACCCAAGGGCACAAACTGTTTCAGTTAATGAGCATTCAATAAATATTTATTTAGCGCCCTCTACTGGAAAGCCCTGTTAGATCGGCTGGGGACACAGCAGTGAATGAAAGGGGAAAAAAACTCCTATCCTCAGTTTATATTCTAGTGGGAGCAGAAAGACAAATAATAGTTAACATATATACCAACCCGGCCAGTGTGGCTCAGTGACTGAGCATCAACCCAAGCACTAAGAGGTTGCCAGTTCAATTCCCGATCAGGACACGTGCCCAGGTTGTGGGCCCGATCCCCAGTGGGGGGCATACAGGAGGGGGCCAGTTAATGTCCTCTCTCATAGATGTGTCTATCTCTCCCTCCTTCTCCCTTCCTCTCTCTCTAAAATCAATGAAGGGAAAAAAAATATATATATATATACACATACATATAAACCATCAGATAGACAAAGGTGCTATTAAGGAAAATGAAGCATAAAAGGGAACTGTAACTTTAAACATATATAGTGGTCTGAGGCCTCAATGATCAAATGACGTTTGAGCAGCTATACAGGAGGTAAGGGGGAGAACCACGTGCGTAAAGGAGGAGGAGCTTTCTGGGCAGAGCCTACAGCCAGCACAAAGTCCGGAAGTTCCAGACTTTGTTCCAGAAACAGCATGGAGGCTGGAGTACCTGGAGAAGAGCTGGGAAATGTAGGAGCAGATGATATCACTGAGTTGATAAGGGATCCATGAAGGGCCTTGAAGGCCTTTATAAGGATTCAGCCTTTCCTCTGTAAGAAATGGGGAACTGTTGAAGGTTTTTGAGTATCGAGTGTCCTACTGTAACTTTGGTTCATGGAGAGAATAGACCATAGGGGACAAGAACAGAGACCAATTAAGAATTGCCTGGTTGGCCCTGGCTGGTTTGGCCCAGTGGCTAGAGCGTTGGCCCGCAGTCCAGAGAGACCCGGGTTCAGTTCCTGCTAAGGGTATGTACCTCAGTTGCAGTTTGTCCCCAGCCCTGGTTCGGTCATGCGGGTGGCAACCACTCAATGTGTCCCTTTCATGTCGATGTTTCTCTCTCTCTCCCTACCATTCTATCTGAACAAAAAATGAAAAAGTGTCCTTGGGTGAGGATTAAAAAAAAAAATGCTCAGTGGATTGAGTGTCGTCCCATGGACTGAGAGGTCCTGGCTCGATTCCCGGTCCGGGCACGTGCCCAGGTTGTGGGCTCAATCCCCAGTAGGTGGCATGCAGGAGGCAGCTGATCAATGTTTCTCTGTCACATTGATGTTTCTCTCTCTCTAAAAAATCATTAAAAACAAAAAAAGCAGCAGCTATGAATTAATCCAGGAGAGAGGTGATCCAGTTTGGGAACAGGGTGGTAGATATGGAGCTTATGAGAATGGGGTAAATTTTGTTGTTGTTGTTAATGAGGATATTTTTCCATTGATTTTTAGATAAGAGTGGAAGGGAGGGAGGTAGAGAGAGAGAAACATTGATGTGAGAAAGACACATCAATTAGTTGCTTCCCGCACAACCCCAATCGGGGCCAGAGACCAAACCCGAAACCCAGGTAGGCACATGCCCTTGACCCTTTGTTGCACAGGTCGACGCTCTAACAGCTGAGCCAAACCGGCCAGGGTAGGACCCAGGTTTCTGATTCGTACGTTTTCTTTATCATACACCTGATAAAGAATCAGGTATACAGTCGTCCCTCGCCACTTGGCGCTTCAACTTTCGCAGCTTCACTTTATTGCAGTTTTTCAAAGCACAACGTGGGGACGGTCAACTGTATATAAATAAAGAATCCTACTTCGGGGAAATTCATTTATTGCGGTAGAGTCTGGAACTGATTAACCATGATAATGAGGGCTGACTGTATGATATTCTGGATTCTTTAAGTTCAAGAGACTATTGCCAAGAAACAATTTGATTTCTGAGTTGTAAGGACTAGAGTGGCAGCTCTTAGTATGCAGGAAGCACACCTCACATGTGTGACAGGCCACGGTGTGCCCAGATGAAACATTACTTCTGTGTGTCTGTGACGGTGTTTCCGGATGAGATTAGTACTTGAATCAGTGCATTCAGTAAAGTGACTGCCCTCCCCAAGTGGGTGGGCTTCAGCCAATCCATCGAGGACCTGAACAGAACAAAAGGTGGAAGAAATTTGCTCCTTTTTTCCCTGCCTCGCTGTTTGAGCGGCAACATCTCATTCAGCTTCTCAGGCCTGCCTCCCCTGCTTCCCAGGCCTTCAAACTCAGATTGAATCACACCACCAGTTTTCCCGTTAGTTGTTTCTTTGGGGAACACTGACTAAAACAGACAAAACAGTCACCCAAGTGTGAAAGGAAAACACGGCTAAATTTTTATAACCAACCACCCATTTTTCATGAGCGCTATCAACCTGCTTACACATGACATTTGATCTTTTTCATCTCAATTTTATTACAGGTTGATGTTTACAGACTGGTTTATACTGAATGCATTTCGGGTTTCCTAACAACATGTGGGAAAGCAGAATAATCACATGGACAGGCTGCCTCCAAATCAACTTTTGCCTGTAGACTGAAACGTCATTGATGAAATTTAGACACTAATGACCTTTAATTCAAAAGAACCTGAGAATCCTTGACCTATCACCTTGACCTTTTCTTCCATCATCACATCTCTACCCATCTTATTGGGGTCTGCAGTATTGTCACTAAACACAAAAAACAGTCATGAACATTTTTTAAGTCCCATTATATGCCTAGCACAGAGGCTCACAGGGTTGGTGGCTAAATATTTACTGGAAAGGAAATTTATTTTAAAATATATATACTTTAATTTTTTAAATGTTTTTATTGATGTTTTTATAGGAAAGGAAGGGAGAGGGGGAGAGAAAGAGAAACATTGATCAGCTGTCTCCCACACATCCTGACCAGGGATCAAGCCTGAAACCTGGGCATGTGCCCTAACCAGTAATCGAATCAGATGACGCTCCAGATGACGCTCCAACCAACTGAGCACACCAGCCTGGGTGAAATGCTTTATTTTAAAGAAGTTTTACTTTTATAAGAAACAAGAAAAGATCATAAAAAAGCTAAGACTATGTATTTAAAAATTACATGTAAGAAAACTAAAGGAATAGCTTCTATACCCAACTGCTGGCTGGTTCAAAAGCTCACAGGGCCTCAGGTTATAACATATCGGGTGAGTCCTCCCCCTCGAACCTCGGACAGCCTCCGGCAGTGTCGTAAGATATTCAGTATGACATGAAACCTCTTGTCAACTTTCAAAGCTGTGAACTCCTTTATGTCAGCTTCCACTATAAAATAATGACCTGAAAATAAAGATATTAGTGCTAATTTTTATAAGGACAACTTTCAAAGTGAGTCTTTAATGCATAACATTGTGACTATGAATGGCATTAATCATTTTCACTATCACTGTCCAACTCAAGTGATAAATAGTACTCTTGCTAAAATAATAATTATTCTTTCAACTAAAGTTACATAGTTTACTGTAGCATTTCAGTAATGTAGCCCTGCTTATTATATCACTATCTGTTGACATCTTTGGAACAAAGTACTTTTCAAGAGATAGTACAGATAGTGGATAAGAAAATAGACCCTCAGCAGCTCTATCACTTGACTGGCAGATCTTGGACAAGTAACTTCAGCTCCCTCCGCCTGGTTGGCAAAAGGGGGTTAGTTAACAGTCCGTACCTCCTAAGGATGTTATAAAGACTAAAGCTCTCTCAGTACACCATCTGGCACACAGTAAGTGCTATATAAGCATGACCAACTACTATTGTTACTATTCTAATTCTAGAAACATTAGTTATGGTTCCATAATAAACTCTGAAGCAGTGTTTCTCAGCCTCAGCACTACAGACATTTTGGGTCACATAACTGTTTTTTGTGGGAGGTGTCTTGTGCATTGTAGGGTTCCTTTAGCAGCATCCCTAGTCTTTACACACTAGATGACAACCCAAACCCAGTTGTAACAACCAAAAATGTCTCTAGAGATGGCCAAATGTCCCCTGGTGAAAAAATTGCCTCTGGTGGAGAAATGCCTCTCTAAATTTAGAACTTTCTAGAATTAGTTTTTTCTCGTGATTTACTTACACTGCAATCATTTGACACAATCATTTGACATGTACACATATACGTAGATGCCATCATTTTACCTTTGGTGTCCTTTGTTTCTTCATCAGTGAATCTGTGATAGAGATTTCTGACCGCAGTACTCATAGTAGACTTTTTTGGTTGATGTAGAATCTTATATTTACTAACTACTGCTTTGTTGATTTCTTTAATAACATCATTAATTTGACAATAGGTTAAGCGGGATTTCATGTACCTGTAAATAAGTATACGATAAATGTTTTTAAATACTCATTATACAAAATATTTTCTTTGAAAAACATTTATGTTGATGTTATACAATAACAAAGCTATTAGTACTCCTTATAAAAAATGTTATATTGCCCAGCCAGTGTGGCTCAGTGGTTGAGCGTTATCCGTGCACCAAGAGGTAACCAGTTTGATTCCCAGTCAGGGCACATGCCCAGGTTGTGGGCCAAATCCCCAGTTGGGGGCATGCAGGAGGTGGCCAATCGATGTTCTCTCTCATCGATGTTTCTATCTCTGCCTCTCCCTTCCTTTCTCTCTAAAATTCATAAAGAAAAAATGTTTTTAAAAAAATGTTATATCAACTTTCAAATAAACCAGACAGGTCTCAACAGCTGAAAAGTTACACAGAGACCACAACATATTAGTGCTCATCTTCCCTAGTTATATCTGGGTACATTAATCTCTCTTCTCCACCTACAGAATTAATATTACAATTTATTTTTTTTTATCCTCACCCGTGGACATTTTTCCATTTTTTGTTCAGACAGCACGGGAGGGAGGGAGGGAGGGAGAGAAAGAGAGAGAGAGAGAGAGAGAGAGAGACATCGACAGGAAAGAGACACATCAAGTGGTTGCCACCAGTACAACCCAACCGGGGATGGGGACAAACTGCAACCGAGGTACGTGCCCTTAGCAGGAACCGAACCCGGGTCTCTCTGGACCGCAGGCCGATTCTCTAACCGCTGAGCCAAATCGGCCAGTGCTAATATTACAATTTAAAATAAGCTCTCAGCCCAGTTAGAGTGTTGGCCTTCAGACCAAAGGGTTGAGGGTTCGGTCACCAGCTCCCATAAGGGTTATGTGGGAGGCAACCAACCAATGTGTCTCTCTCACATCAATGTTTCTCTTCTTTCTTTCTCTCTCTCTCTCTCTCTCTCTCTTTCTCCTCTTCCCTCTCTTCCACTCCCTCTGAGAAATCAGTGGAAAAGTATCCTCAGGTGAGGATTAACAAAAAATTTATTAAATAAATAAACTCTCAAATTCTGATTCAAAGGAACTGGTTAATTGCAAGACAGATCTTTACATAAACATTTTTAAATGTTTGTAAGCAAGGGAACAAAAAATTTAAATATTAATAAATAATATAGCTTATATCACTCTAGTTTGCTTATGTTTTCAGAGAGAAAGAAAAAAGGAGGAGGAGAGGAAGACAAAGGGTAAAAGACCACACAGAGAGACAATGGTGACACAAAGGTGAGCTGAGGGAGGGCTCCGAAGTGAGGCTGCAGCGGCAGAGGAGAACCGATGTGGAGCCATGCTCTTTTATTCCCGCTCGAATTCCCTCGCAGCACTCTCTTCCACTCTAACCCCCATCTTTTCCATCTGGACCTCCTCCCAGGCACTCTAGAGTCTTAGAATATAAAAATAGGACTCTCAATTTTGAGGGGTTTGTACATACCAAAAACAAATCAATAATCTGCCTCGATTTCCCCTTGAGCAAACTGTGAGTTCATTATGTTAAACTCTGTCCTTCACCTCTATTCAAAGGGGGAAGTTTTCTAAACAAAATTTCCTTAATATAACATAACATATAAATATGTTTAAGGAAAAGTGTTCATATTGACCAAAAACTATTCATTTTCATTATTCCCTTCTTTTCTAATTCATTTTTGCTAGTTTTCTCTAACCACAATTTGATACCACAGCTCTCCCCAATGCGACTTCTTTAAAGCTTCTGACTACAGCCCTGGCCGGTTTGGCTCGGCGGTTAGAGTGTCGGCCTGCGGACCAGAGACCCAGGTTCGATTCCGGCCAAGGGCACATACCTCAGTTGTGGTTTGGCCCCAGCCCTGGTCAGGGTCGCGAGGGAGGCAGCCAGTCGATGTGTCTCTCTTGCATCAATGTCTTTCTCTTTCTCTCTCTCCCTCCCTCCCTCCTACTCTGTCTAAAGATAAATGGAAAAATATCCTCGGATGAGGATTAAAAAAAAAATGAAATAGAAAAATAAATAAAGCTTCTAATTATATCACCTTAGTTTCCTCGATACCCGTCCCCTACACCCACCTCTGCCTATATTCATTCTACCCTCAGCATTAATTTTCTAAAACAGATAAATAAAAGTCCCATATTTGGCATACATTCTTCCTTATCCTAATCTTCTCATTTCTCTTATTCACTAAAAAACACCTTAGTTTAAAAATTAATGCTCTACCATGACTATTTAATTTTCTTCTTTTATCTCTTCATGAAAGCATTTTCTAAAAACCCTTCTATTCCAGTTCCTCAGACATTTGCTCTTTCCTGTAGTTCAGCCAATGGGCAACAATAACAACAATTTAAAAAACTGAAGAGCATCAAATAGAATTTTCATGAAAATAAAGCTGTCAATAAAGAAAAAGAATGAGGACACCTCCACAGCCCCCCCCCCCCCAGATTAAGGAGAAATGTCAGCCTCCTTACTCATCCCAGAATTATCAAACAGCCAGTATTTTTCAAGTGGCCAATAAGCACATGAAAAGATACTCAACATCGTATGTCATTAGGAAACTGAAAATTAAAACAACGAGATACCGCTATACACCTATTAGAATTGCTAAAATAGAAAAAACGGACAAAACTGAATGCAGTGAGGATGAGGAACTGTCCCTCACTGCTGTGGGAACGCACAACGCACAGCCACTCTGGAAGGCAGCTGGGCAGTTTCTTACAAAACAAACTCCTGCCATAGGATCTGGCAGCCACACTCGTAGGTGTTTACCCAGATGAGCTGAAAGTGTATGCCCACACAAGAACCTGCACATGGATGTTTACATAGTCTTTATTCCTAACTTCCCCAGACTGGAAGTAACCAAGATGTCCTTTAGTAGGTGAACAGATAAACAAACTGTGGTACATCCAGACAATGGAGTATTAGCAATAAAAATAAAATTTAAAAAAAGCCCTGGCTGGTTTGGCTCAGCGGTTAGAGGATCGGCCTGCGGTCCGGAGAGACCCGGGTTCGGTTCCTGCTAAGGGCATATACTTCGGTTGCAGTTTGTCCCCGGCCCTGGTTGGTCGTGAGGGTGGCAGCCACTCAATGTGTCCCTTTCACGTCGATGTTTCTCTCTCTCTCCCTCCCTCCCACTCTATCTGTGCAAAAAATGGAAAAATGTCCTCCGGTGAGGATAAAAAAACAAACAAACAAAAAAAACATGATTTCAAGCATTTTCAAGAAAAGATTTCCTCTATTTTCATAGTACAATGTAAAGCTATCTTAGAAAAGATCAGTATTTGAACACAGCATATTTTGATGAATATAATCAAGCTCTGTGATTTAAACAATTATGTGTGTTGATTATTAAAATTATTAAAAATGTATCTTGAACGTTAAAATTTTTTTACTTTCTTTTTTTTTATCCTCACCCGAGGACATTTTTGCATTTATCTTCAGATAGAACAAGAGGAGAGAGGGAGGAAGAGAGAGAGAGAAACATCAATGTGAGAGAGACACATCAAGTGGCTGCCACCCACACAACCCCAAGCAGGGCCGGGGACAAACTGCAACCGAGGTACAGGCCCTTAGCACAGTGGTTCTCAACCTTCCTAATGCCGCGACCCTTCAATACAATTCCTCATGTTGTGGTGACTCCCAACCATAAAATTATTTTCATTGCTACTTCATAACTGTAATTTTGCTACTGTTACGAATTGCCATCGGAAATATGTGTTTTCTGACGGTCTTAGGCGACCCCTGTGAAAGGGTCATTCGACCCCCAAATGGGTCACGACTCACAGGTTGAGAACCACTGCCTTAGCAGGAACTAAACCCAGGACTCTCTCCAACCGCTGAGCCAAACCAGCCAGGGCTGAACATTAAAATTTATCTTAAATACTTACGCAGGAATTCCATTAAACTCCTCAGAAGTTATAAATGGCATTTCTTTAATATGTCTTTGCTCTTTGGGGGGCTTCTTTGTGGCTCCAGGTTCCTCAACTTTGACAGGTTCTTCAGGGTCAAGATCTGATCCTTTAACACTAGAGTAGAGATACACAGACATAAAGGTAATCATCAGAATTTTCCAGCAGACTAGAAAGCTTTCCCAACTGAAAAAAAGAGCAGTATCAAACACATGATTTGTCTTGTGATAATAATTTTATAGCCAACATTTTTTTCTATCTCTACCCCTATTGTTCATGAAGATCTGAGTAGTGAGAACACTAAAATATTAAGTACCCAAAACTTCAGTAACATAACTGTTTTACATACCTCAAAATGGTATACATAGTACATATGCTAAACGTCTTTATCAGTTATCCCACCAGTTCCTCAATGTCAGTATGTGTAAAGACAATAGTCTTATTCTTCTGTTTTTCTCATTTAGCATCAGTCCCACCCTGTTGCAGAATCATTTGAGTTGCAAGTGACAAGCACAGGTCACCTGTGGATTTAGTCCTGCCCAATTTTTGGAGACATTGAAAAACCTAATTTAGTTCCTACCCCACTAACAAAGAACTCTAGTTGGCAAGAAGTTATAAATAGACTTACACATTCTGGGTTACTGTTACTTGAGGCAAATGGGGAGGAATGTTTTCTTTGAGATGCTCCACATCTTTATAATCTTCTTCAAGAGATTCATGGAGTTCCTAAAATTTTAAAAATGTTCACAAATAAGCATCTGTCCTGCCTGTGTGTGTCTTAAGATGTTACAAAGAGCAAGAAAGACCACGATACACAATCACAATAATTGTGAGTGTTGAGAAGGCAGGCTGGGTGAAAAAGCATTGAGTGTAGCAATATTTTAAAAAGAGCTGCTCTGGCCAGCGTGGCTCAGACTGAGTACTTTGCCATCAGGAAGTACACAAGCACCTTATCAGCTGGTGGATGAGAAGGCTCACTTAGGACAAAACGTGCATGTGAACAAGGCTCCAGTTTCTCTGTATTTGAGAATCCTTGTTACATTTTACAGAAACTGGTTACAAGCATGAAAAAATAAATACTTGTGGAGCTCTGGAATCCTTTATACTGGGAAGATAAGACGCCAGTAACACTCTATACAATTAATAATAACTTACAAAGCTAAGAACATTATAAACTTACAGAATCCTTAAGAATTCCTGGTGGTTAGAAAATCTGTACTTATTGCCTTTTTATTTTGTTGCTTCACTAGAAAAACATTACCTTGAGTGACTTAGTAGTTTGTTCTTGATATTGAATTTCCAATTCCAATTTATTTAGAAGTTCATTTACTACCATGATCTCATCTCCTATTTTATTTAATATAGTCTTCAAGGTAGGTTCTTGACCTATTAATAAACAAAGATAAACTGGAAAATAAAGTGTACAGAAAAGTGATAACATACATGTAGCCAACCAAACTTCTGCAACAGAGCTTTACCTTAGAGACACTTGTGGGTGGAGAAAGAGCTACTGTTTCAAGCTCTAGGTCCTGTCTCCATGGATAATCTTAAAACTTTATTTCTAAGTACTAGTATGGAAGAGAAGGAAGGGAGAGAGAAGTACAAAGTGTCCCGAGTCTTTTGTTTCTGGCAAAGTCCTCCACTATTTAAAAAAAAAAAAAAAAAAACCCTAAAAATGCTAGATAAAATAAACACCTTCTACATGCATAACTGAGCTTTTGTGATAAAAAGATAATGCCCCAGGGCTCCAGCGGGAAGAGAGAACCACAAACCAGGCAGTGCATGTAAGATGCTGCTGCAGCAGTGCTAACCTGGGACGTGCAGAGGGGAGCTGGAGTGTGTCAGTCTCAGCAAGCTAGTATGTTTGGTTTCAATGGGGATCAGGTCAACATTTTAGACTTCGAAGCACAGGGTGTTGGAAGTTAAAATCCCAAATGAAGCCAAGACCCCTCTTCATGGGGTATATCATTAGTGAAAGTGTAAACCTGAAAATTCTAATCAATGGCCAAAGAGATATAAGCTTATGTTTTGGCCTGGCCCTCGAGTGTGTAGGGGAGGTTAGGGAGAATTCCACTTCAGAATTCACAGTAGAGGTTTAGGATTTATATTTACACTATCCACATGATTAATCATCCCTAAGTGGAGAAAGTAACATAGAAAGTTAAGTGCTGGTGATGGCCCAGGGGCGCAGACAGAAACAAACACCTGAGTTGTAAAGTAGCATGCTCTCTTACTCCCAACCCCACCTCTCTAGCTTCACAGATTCGAGGGTGAGAAAACCAGAGTCTCCTCCTCTCTAGAAATAAAAGAAGCAACAAAGAAAAAACACAAAAACTTTTTTTACGTGCAGATCAAAAGCACAAAAAAACTATACTCGTAATCAAATCTTTTCCATCTTCACTTCTGGCAACCAACCAAATACGCATAAATAAAAGCACAATTTGACTATATGTCTACATTATGAAGGCAGTCGAGTGAAATGACTAGAAGCTCCAGGCCTGAAGTCAGAGACATCAGTACCTACCTCAAGATTACTGCAAAGAAGTGATAAAAGTACATATAACATGGGATTAGCATTATGTCTGGAACCTAGTACTCAGTAAAAGCTAACTACTATTCCTCATTGTCATGAGAAGCACCATATTATTCTACCTAAGAGAGTAATGCTAATTGTGTTTGACACTAGGTTCATAACAACTAAATCAGATTACTGTGGTCAGTAAATGAGAGTATTAATGTCTTTACTGAGATTAATTTCAGAGGGTTAAATAACTAGTTAGATACTCTGGTATTTCAAATAACTTTTAGTCGCCCTAGCAGGTTTGGCTCAGTAGTTAGAGCATCAGCCTGCAGACCAGAGAGTCCCGGGTTCAATTCCGGTCAAGGACGTGTGCGTAGGTTACGGTTGTTCCCTGGCCCCAGTAAGAGTCATGTGGGTGACAACCAATCAATGTGTCTCACTACTTTTGATAGTAGGGATCTAGTAAATTACAGCAGCCAAAGTGGCAAACAAATTACCGGGTTTTATTCAATAGGCTTCAGAACCAAGCAAATGATTCTCCCCACATACAAATGATGGTTACCCAGTATGTTGTAACCTAACATGTTAGACTGCTGCTTTGGCCAGGCCTCAAGCTTTGTTGGGGTCAGCTGAATTTAAGGTTTGATAGTTTTACAGGTTTCCAAATTCTATCTTTATACCCAATAGTAATCATGCCCTCTGAAAGAGAATCTTGTTTAGACTTAGTCTAAAAAAACTATTAAAGCCCGGCCAGTGTGGACTGAGGGTTGTCCCATGGACTGAGAGGTCCTGGTTCGTTTCCTAGTCAGGGCATATGCCCGATTTTGGTCTCAATTCCCAGTGGGTGGTGTGCAGGAGGCAACCAATCCATGTATCTCTCTTACATCGATGTTCTTTCTCTCCCTTCTTCTCTTTCTAAAAAAAAAAAAAAAAAAATTAATAAAAACATTTTTTAAAAAAACTATTAAAAATCTATCCTTTTACGATTTCTCAATAAAAGGGACGTAGAAGTAGAAAAAGTACTGCACTGGGAATCAGGACACAGAAACTGTAGTTCCCAATGATTACTCATGAGCTGGGGGACCTGGCAAGTCACCTGACTTCTGAGTCTCAATTTCCTCATGTGTGAGATGCAGGGGTTGGAGAAGATGAACCTTCAGCTTTAATTTTCTACAGAGTATGTTAACCACAAACTATAAAATGGATGAGGCTCCTTTATTAGAAGTTCTCAACAAGAGATAGAAAATATCCAAGTGTGCCTAGTAGGACATGTATAATTCGAATGGGCATTCCAACATTACAATTTCATATTTTAATTTTTTTTTTTTATCCTCACCCGAGGACATTTTTCCATTTTTTGTTCAGATAGAGTGAGGGGAGAGAGAGGAAGAGAGAGAAAGAGAGAAACATCGATGTGAAAGGGACACATCGAGTGGCTGCCACCCACACGACCAACCAGGGCCTGGGACAAACTGTAACCAAGGTACGTGCCCTTAGCAGGAACCGAACCCGGGTCTCTCTGGACTGCAGGCCGACGCTCTAACTGCTGAGCAAAATCAGCCAGGGCTCATATTTTAATTTTTTTTAAATTATCAATTCATAATACAAACTACAATAAAAGTTCAACACAGTCTTCCCAGCAGGTAGAATGTTCTCCTAGGTAGGGTTGAAAGCACTTCACTTTTGTAAACACCATTTTCCCAAACTTGACAAGGATCACCAGTTCTTTTAAATTTTTTTTCTTTATTGATTTTAGAGAGGGAGGAAGGGAGAAGGAGAGATAGAAACATTGATGAGAGAGAACATCCACTAGCTGCCTCCTGCATGCCCCCACTGGGGATCTGTCCCACAACCTGGGCATGTGCCCTGACCAGAAATCAAACTGGCGACCTCTTGGTGCATAGGTGACTGTGAGTAACACTGGCTGGGCAGATCCCCTATTTCTTTGCACCATCATTGCATCATTCCCTTTCAGCACCTCAAAATATTTTGGGAGACAGTTATACCTGTAAGTCTAACTGTTTTAAAAATTGATTTTCAATTAGTTGTTTCCTTGTGTCTTTTAAAGCAGGATATCAAATGGGTTATGGGCTACTTCTACTACCCTGGGTCTCTTTTACTTCTGTTTTTATCCCTTACCTTTTTTAATAAAGATAAATTTATTTATTTATTTATTTTTTTAATCCTCACCCAAGGATATTTTTCTCAAATATCTTCAGATAAGAGTGGGAAGGGGGCGAGGGGAGAAACATCGATATGAGAGGGACACATCAACTGGCTGCCTCCCCCATGACCCCAACCAGGGCCAAGGACTAACCACAACCAAGGTAGGTGCCCTTGGCCGGAATCAAATCGGAGACTCTTTGGTGTGGGGGCTGATGCTCTACCACTGAGCCAAACCGGCCAGGGCATCCCTTACCTTTAAGTATCTCCCTTTAGCTCTAGAATAACAAATACCACATAACCTTCAAATCTTACTATTGTGCTTTGTGTGTCTCAGACAAACATAATAAATCTAATTACTATCAATTTATTTATTGTTCAATGTAACTTAAATTTTAGTATTCTCTGCAATATTCCAAATATTGATGCTGGAGTGCTTTGAAATCACCATTTAAAACTTAAAATCACCTTTGTGAGATACATTTACTTAGCCAAGTGTAAGATATTCAAAGTGGAACAATAATCAAAATGCATTGTGTATGTACAAAGTCAGTGGAATCTATTCTACTTACCACAGTTCCTTAAAGACAGAAATTTTTTAATATTGCCAATCTTTTCATTAATATAAGAGCATATTTGTTCCAGATCTGAGGAGGCCATCCTTTAAGGCTCTGGAGAAAAAATATATATACACAAACACAATTTCAAAAAACAGAAGCCAGACAAATTTCTGTTAACTTGCAAAATCCAAGAATGGTACTATCCCGTAGATCACATGCCCTTGAAATTACAGTATGAGAAGTCAAGAGCAATTTCTTTCAATTCCACAAAATTCCGTTTCTAACCAAGTCCAGCACTGACTTGTCTTAGAGCCTTCTGTAGTCTATGCATTGGAAACCATGGTGCAGGGAATAAACCTGCATCATCTCTTTAAGGAAATAGAGGGCCAAATGCACTCTGTATGAAGACAACATTGGTATTTTCTTTAAAAACGCAAAATAAACACGAGTTTTACAAGAGAGAAAAAGAAAGCAAGCGCAAAGAAACGGGTGCAGGTGAGCTTTTCTCCCGCGCTGCGTGGGGCTGGGGCTTTACTGGGTGGGGTCGGTCAGCAGGCGGAGGGGAGGGAAGAAAAGGAATCAGTTACGGTGCACTCCCAGCAAGGAGACGACGCGTCAAGCGCCCACTCCAGGTAACCAGCGAGCGGAGCCAGCCCCGCACCTCCGCCCCCGCCCGGCGCGATCCCGCACCCCTCCCCCCGCCCGAGCAATGCCTTCGGCCTGCTTCCGATGCCAGGATCCTAGCTACGCGCGGGTCCGGGAGCAAGGGGGTCCACTCTGGAGCGAGCGGCGGGCCCTTCCACTCGGGTCTCAGCCGGGAGGAGGGATGCGGAGACAGGCCTCGGGAGGCGGTTCAAGTTGCCCGCCGTCCCGGCGCCGCGCAGGCGCACGTCGGCGCTCCCGGACCGCCCCCTCAGCGGCCGGACGCTTTGCGTCAGGCTGAGCCGCCGCCGGGCGTCGGGCGGGGGCGCGGCTGGGCGGGGAAGGGGCGGGACTTTGTCGGCTTTGTTGCTAAGGGCTCGCAGGACCGCAGCTCCTCCTGCGCGGTGCCGTTACAGGTGATCACAGTCGGTCACCGAGTCCCGGTCGCCATCCAGCCAGGAGCCAAGCTCTCCGGGGATCAGATGGCGAGCTGGAACGGTAGGTCTCCAAAGTAGAATCACCCGGGGCAGCTTTTACAAATTCTAATGCGTGCCCAGCCGGTGTGGCTCAGCTGCACTGTCACCTGGACTGAGAGGTCCCGCCTGCATTCCCAGTCAGGGTACATGCCCAGGTTGCGGGCTAGATCCCCAGTAGGGGTGCGCAGGAGGCAGCTGACTGATGTTTCTCTCACATGGATGTTTCCATCTCTCCCTTCCATTCTCTCTCTGAAAATTCTATTTAAATAAATAAATAAGCAAGCAAGCAAGCCCCGGCTGGTTTGGCTCCGCGGTTAGAGCGTCGCCCCGGGACCAGAGAGGCTTGGGTTCGGTTCCCGCTAAGGCAGGTACCTCGGTGTCAGTTTGCCCCCCACCCCAAATGTGGGTGGCAACCTCTCCATGTGTCTTTTTCACATTGATGCTTCTTTGTCTCTCTTCCTCCCTCTCATTCTCTATCTAAAGATAAATGCAAAAGTGTCCTCAGGTGAGGATTAAATACACACACACACACACTTCAATGCCTAGGCCCATACCCCAAATCAGTGAAATCAGACACTCTGGAATGGGGCCCAAGCCTTAATATTTTTTAAAACACCCCAGATAATTGCAGAAAGCAGCCAGGTTTGTGAGCTAAAAAAAAAACAAAACCTGTTTTCGTGGAGTTTACAGCTTCTGTAAGCACAGATTCAAATTTAGAATAAGAAACAGTTTCATTCTCCCTGTTGACAAAAGGGGAAAGCATCCCAGAGTGGTGTGGCACCTCCACAGTCAGGAAGTATCCAGGTTCTTTTCATCTTTTGGCGCCACTGTTCAAAACATCAGTGCGTGGTGGCCTTTAGGTTGCCTGCCTGTGGTGCAGATGACCCTGCCGGTTCCTTCCTCCGGTGTTTGTCCCAGGTAACAGAAAAGAGGAAGGGGCAAGAGTAACAAGCTCACCAGCTGAGCCAGTACCTTTTTTTTTTTTTTTTTTAATATGTTTTTATTGATTTTTTAGAGAGAGAGAGAAACATCCTTGTGAGAGAAACATCCATGGGCTGCCTCCTGCCCCCTACTGGGATTCATAGCTCTCTGTTCCTGGCTGGTCTTCCTTTCAGAAGAGGGAAGCACATTCTGAGAGATGGAGCACGTTCTGAGATGCCTCACTGATCACCCGGGATAGGTCTGACCCTTTGGGGAAGATAACATCCAAAACAGATTATGGTTTTCCATTTCCTCTAAAATACACTTCTTTGGCTTGTTTTTAAAAGCTGTTTTCCATACGACAAAATTAAAATTGAAGGCATTTATTTGTAATACATTTCTCACAGGGATTATTTCTCAGTTTTCATTAGTTGTCATCGCAGCCAAGGAGAATCATCCCAGAAACGTGGGTTCGAAGTCTCCCGTGCCACCTGACCACTAGATGGCAGGGCAGCACCATTCTTGAGAGCACCAGGAAAACTAATGAAAACTCAGGGATATGTGGCCACAGGTAGGCAATCTACCTGATCTAAAAGTTTATGAAGCAAATTTTTACTATCTTCTTTTTAGCACTTGTTTTTTTGTTGTTATTAAAGGAGAGCACATTTTTAATTGAAAATTTGAACAACACAGAAAAATTTAAGAATACAATGGAAACTCTCATTATTCCACCTGTCAAAAATAAATACAGGGTCCAGGTCCTACTTTTGAGGATGAAAATGGCTAAGTGCGGACCATTTCCAACATTCTCTGTAAACATTCCCTGCTCAAGGGTTCCGGCCCTCTCACTGGGTTTCACCCAAAGCTAACCTTAATCCCAACTCCAATCCAACCCTAACCTCAACCCACAACTCCCCTTTTTAAATGTATAATGGCTATTTTTGAAACTTGTTAGCACTGTGGGTGAAATGATAAGTTTACGATTCACAGCACTCACTGTAAATATCAAATCTGTGACAAATGAAGCAGCAGGTACTACCATTCTAGGTAAAATTGATAAGCTCTGTCATTTTAAAATATAAGTAAAATACTGACACCCGAAGAGACGTCACAGCAAAATTAGACTTCAGTTAAAGAAACAACTTGGTGGTCAGACATAGAAGGTTTACTTATTTTGGGTTAAATTGTAAATTTATATTTTTTTCAATTAAAATACAGTAAAATTGACTTTTTACAGGTTTAACAAATGTGTTGATTGTGTACATGCCATTACAAGTCAGGACCCAGAAGAGTTCCATCACCCTAAAATAACTCCTTTGTCCTTTTATCATCACACCCTAATGGCTAGTGATGTTGAATATCTTTTCATGAACTTACTGGTGAAATGTCTGTTCAAATCTTTTGCCTATTTTTAAGTTTGGGTTGTTTAGTTTTCTTACTGTTGAGTTTTGAGAGTTCTGTATATAGTATACTAAATAGATGTCCTTTGCTGGACATCTGCTTTTCAAATACAGGGTAGGCAAAAGTAGGTTTATAGTTGTTCATATGGAAAAAGCATGCAGGTTATGATTATAACGATAGCTTTAGTAACGCAAAAGAATGTCGCAGTGCAAGTGTAAATCTACTTTTGCCTACCCATGTATATTCTCCCAGCCTTTATCTTGTCTTTTCATTCTCTAAACAGTGTCAGTCATAGAGCAAGTTTTGAATTTTGATGAAATCTAGTTTATCTTTGGGCCCAGCAAGTGTGGCTCAGTGGATTGAGCATCGTCCCATGGACTGAGAGCACCCGGTTTGATTCCTGTTCTGGGCATGTGCCCAGGTTGTGGACTGGATCCCCAGTTAGGGGTATGCAGGAGGCAGCCAATCAATGTGCATCGATGTTATTATCTCTCTCTCTAAAAAATCAATAGAAACATATTTTAAAAATTTAAGATTCCTTTGGACTTTTCTATATAGAAAATCATGTTTCAGAATAGAGGACGTTTTATTATACAGTGATACCTCGGTTCTCGAACATAATTCGTTCCAGGAGGACGGTCGAGAACCAAATTGTTCGAGAACCGAAGCAATGAAACCCAATAGGAAATAATGGAAACTGGATTAATTCGTTCCAAGCCCCAGAAAATGCCTATTTACTGGCCTAATTTGTATATAATATGTAGAAAAACATAAGTCTCAACAGGAAATAAAAGTGTACAGTATGTCTAAGGGTTAAATTCAGTGTAAAGCGTGACTCTCTCCCCAAGCGTGACTCTCTCTCTGCACTCACACCGATGACGCAAGCCAGGCGCGCTGGGCCGAATGAACGCCATTCGGCTCAACTCGGCTCATCTCGGAAGTTCGAGTTCCAAATATTTGTTCGGATTCCGAGACAAAAGTTTCTCGAATCTCCTGGTCGAATACCGATTTGGTCGAAAACCGAGGCGTTCGAGAACCGAGGTATCACTGTATTCTTTCCAGTTGATATGCCATTACTTTTTTTTTTGGGTCTCATGTTACTAAATAGGACATAAGTATTATGTTGAACAGGAATGGTAAGTGCAGAAATCAGATCAAGTGCCACCTGTTGCCTAGGAGCAACATTTCCATGATGTCAAGCCAATATATTGTTTGCAGATGTTGGGGTAGCCAAGAAAGACATGACTCACAGAGGCACTGGATGGAATGACACTTGACTCAGGTAGAGAAGAGACAAAGCAAAATCAGCTTTTGCAGTGAGTGTCTGTCCCCTCTGGCCAGTAGGGCTTGCCTCGCAGCCAACACAAGGAGATAGTCTACCCACACCCCCTCTTGGCTGGAAGCAAAGGAACTAACCCATTACCTCCCCTCCAGGAACAGATACAGCAGTGGGGTTGGCCAGGTGCCATATGACACACACACACAGAACAAAGAAGTAAAAATAAGCACACGTTAAGCCTGGAACAGGAAAAAATATTCCCAAGGTATACGCCCAGCATAGACTGGGAGGGCTGTTTATCTCTGCAAGGAAATATTCCAGGTCTGTAGTGTTGGGGCTTTGGTGGATGAACAAAATGTAATCTTGAGGTATGCATTCTCTACACCTGGCCAGCCAAGGCTCAAAGTATGCAGTGTGAATAGATAAGGTTTGCCTGGAGGGTTGCAACGCCACCAGGTCTGAACTGAATTTTTTTTTTTTTATCCTCATCTGAGGACATTTTTCCTTTTTTGTTCTGGTAGAGTGGGAGGGAGAGACAGGAACAGAGAGAGAGAGAGAGAGAAACATCGATGTGAAAGGGACACATCGAGTGGCTGCCACCCACACGACCAACCAGGGCCGGGGACAAACTGCAACCAAGGTACACGCCCTTAGCGGGAACCGAACTCGGGCCTCTCGGGACCGCAGGTCAATGCTCTAACCGCTGAGCCAAACTGGCCAGGGCTAATTTTAGATACTATATTAGTCATAGAATCTTTTAGTGACCTTGAAAACACAAGATGGATATCTAATCCCTTGCTCTCTCAGAGGCCTATAGTCTCTAAAACTTACATAATTCTCATGTGGCTTAGCCACTTCCCAGTTCTAACTCCCATGCAACCCAGTCTTCCAGTGCACGCCTTCTGCACCCTCCCCATCCCAGCATTGCCCTACCTCCTTCGACCCAAATCTAGGCACGTGTAAGTGCTCCTGAGCCCTGAAGCTCACACCAACTTCTGATGTTGATTTTCAGATTATAACAATGTAAATTAATATATTTAATCCTCAGTATAATAGAAAGATTCTCAGATTTTAAAACAAACAAACTGCCCTGGCCGGTTTGGCTCACTGATTAGAGCATCAGCCTATGGTTCAGAGAGACCCGGGTTCAGTTCCCGCTAAGGGCACGTACCTTGGTTACAGTTTGCCCCTGGTCCTGGTTGGGTCATGCAGATGGCAGCCACTTGATGTGTCCCTTTCACGTCGATGTTTCTCTCTCTCTCTGTCCCTCCCACTCTATCTGAACAAAAAATGGAGGATAAAAACAAAACAAAAAAACCAGCCCTGGCCAGTTTGACTCAGCGGTTAGAATGTCAGCCCACGGACCAGAGAGTACTGGGTTCGGTTCCCGCTAAGGGCACGGACCTCGGTTGCAGTTTGTCCCTGGCCCTGGTTGGGGTCATGTGGGTGGCAGCCAGTTGGTGTATCTCTCTCACACTGATGTTTCTCTCTCTTCCCCACTCTCTCCCTCCTGCTCTGTCTGAAGATAAATGAAAAAAACAAACAAACCACAATTCAACTCTACACAGTTTCAGACACACCTAAACCAAATGGGCGGAAACATATAAGAAGGTAAAGGACAGCCCTGGACAGTTTGGCTCAGCAGTTGGAGCGTCGGCCTGTGGACCAGAGAGTCCTGAGTTCAGTTCCTGCTAGGGGCACGTACCAAAAAAAAAAAAAAGAAGAAGAAGGTAAAGGACAGGCTGCATATGGACTTCATCATCCTTCCAGTCTCAACTCCAGCTTCGCTCTACCCCTTCAAGCCCAGAATTTGTCCTGGACTTTGATTTCAAAGATAAAATATTTCAAAATGGCATCTTCAGATTTGCAGGGGCAAACCTAGAAATGCTGAACTCCCTTATATCCTCCCGCCTACTCATAGGGAAGAGGCAGTCATCCTCCCCTTAAAAACCAATCTCTCCACTTTGTCCAGTACTTTGTCCACTAAATTCTGCCCCCCCCCTTTTTTTTTTACTGTGTAATTAACTACTTCTTCCTAAGGATTTTATTATTTATTTTAAACATTTTTTTTCCTTTATTGATTTTAGAGAGAGAAGAAGGGAGAGGGAGAGAGAGATAGAAACATCGATGAGAGAGAACATTGATTGGCTGCCTCCTCATGCCCCCCACTGGGGATCGGGCCCACAACCTGGGCATGTGTCCTGACTAGGAATCGAACCAGCGACCTCTTGGTGCAAGGGTCGATGCCCAACTGCTGAGCCACACCAGTTGGACTCTCCTTAAGGATTTTAAAAATAAATCTTCCAGCCCTGACTAGCCAATTGATAAGTCATTCAATATAATTAAACATCCCTGACTTTAATCCATTTGCTTTTAGCACTGTTTTCATTAACATTTTTTCTGGTGTCTGCTTTGGGTTCTCAATAAAACCTCTTGGCAAATTTCCTAGCATCACTGCCTGCAGCTGGGAGAATATGTCCCTTGATGGGATCGGGGTGGTGCAGTACAGCACACACTCGTCTGTACCTTCCATCCACAAACTATTTATCCTCCATGATGAAATGTCTGGATTTTCTGGTCCACACTCTGTTGTGCTCTAGCTTTGCCCAGCTCCTGGTCCTACACTTCTACCTGCGGTGAGCAGGGTGCTTGTGGCAGGATGCTAGGCTTCCCTGACAAAAGTGCCTTCGTGGCTCCCTAGCACCTTCCAAGGAAAGCCCAGGTTCCTTGGCACGTCATCCTAGCCCACCATTGCCCTGGCTCCTGCCTCCTCACCAGCCTCAGCAGCCAGGCACTCTTACCTGGCAGTTAATCCCACGGCATCATAGCTGTTCGTGGTGGCTGCCTCTTCTGTGTGCCTGTCAGCTCCACTCTACCAGTACTGCATGCTGTTTGACACCTCTGCTGCTTTGTCCTGGATGCTCTTCTGTCCAGAATGTCTTTCAGCTCACAAGCCCTTTTTATCCTCTCTGAATAATTCAAGTCATCGTTCAAAATTTAGCTCAATCATTCCTTCTTCAGGCAACTTTCCTTGATGCCTTCAGACTGGGTCAGATTTGTGTGAAATTTACATTCCTCTGTTATTAAATGGTGTTTTTTAAAATTACTGAAATTGTGCCCTGGCTGGTTTTGCTCAGTGGTTAGAGCATCGGCCCGTGGACCAAAGAGTTATGGGTTCAACTCCAGTCAAGGGCATGTACCTAGGTTGCAGATTGGCCCCCCACCGTGGTCAGGGTCCAGTGGGAGGCAACCAATCGGTGTGTCTCTCTCATATCGATGTCTCTTTCTCTTTCTCTCCCCCTCCCACTGTATCTGAAGAGAAATGCAAAAGTATCCTCGGGTGAGGATTAAAAATGAATAAATAAATATAATTACTGAAATTGTTTGATTTTATGTCATTGTCTCCAACTACATGGTGAGTTTCCCATGGGAAAGGATGTGGTATTCACCAAAATCATCTTTCTTTTTTTTTTAATCCTCACCCAAGAACATTTTTCCATTTTTTGTTCAGATAGAGTGGGAGGGAGAGAGAGAGAGAAACATGGACGTGAAAGGGACACATCTAGTGGTTGCCACCCATATGACCCAACCAGGGCTGGGGACCAACTGCAACCGAGGTACATGCCCCCTTAGCGGGAACCGAACTTGGGTCTCTCTGGACCGCAGGCAGATGCTCTAACCGCTGAGCCAAACTGGCCAGGGCCAAAATCATTTTTCTGCAAGTCTTCTCCTTTCCATTTAAATCTGAGAGTAGCGAGCAAAGGAGACTGGGGGCGTGACCAAAGGTGAGGGAAGGACTGCGCAGACTCAGCAATTCAACAACCAATAAAAAGTCGTGAATCCTGGCGTCCTCGATTCCTATGGTGACAGAGCCCCCTTCCTGTTCTCTTAATTGAAGGTATCCCTTGTGAGTGGGGCCAGCCTTTTGAGATCGTGTAGCGGGAGGTGAAGGGCCCCACTCCCAATGTGGTGATCGTGGTAAAACTCGGGAATTGGGAGTGTGCAAGATGCTGAGATTTCTCCTGCTGTCCCCACCCCCAGGCCCAACCCAACCGGACCTCAGTCATGGTTCCAGATAAGAGTGCAGTGTGCTCTGGCATGTTGTAAGGAGACATGATAGATGACTTCACCACCTACCCTACCAACAGGAAGTATCATCCACGAGTCAACTTTAATGTATAAATTATGTCTCTGGGAAATCCGAATCGCAGTCATGAAGGCCCTTTGGTCTTCAAGAAAGACACCCAAGAGGGCTGCCCCCTTGTAATAGTGTGTGTGTGTCCCAGGAGAGACACAGGACTGGGAAGCAGGAGAACTGGGTTCTGAGCTGGCCATTAACCAGTTTGAGATATGGAACTAGGACTGCATCTCTCGGAGCGCAGTCTGTGGACTGAGATGAAGCTGTGGGTGTCATGCCTGTGTCTCTCTCAGCCTTCTCCCAGGCTTTATGACTGCTTTATGTGATCAGCTCAAACCCGAGAACCACTTGGCCAAAATGACCCCAAAGACCTGGAAACTGGAGGAAAGATGGATGACTGGAAAGACTGTTGTTTTAAAGAAGACCATCGGAATGCTGCTTGTCATAGAATGTTGACAGGTTTCACATAGTACTGCAGACTGTTGGTGTAGATATCCGGATTTCTTTGTTTCTGCCAGAAACTTCTCCATAAACACACTTATGCAATTACAGAGATATATTTCCCCCACAGGGGAAAGTATGAATGCAATTCCCCACTACCACAAATTATGTAGTTGAGTTTCCCACATTTGGGGAAATCACACCCGGAGTGCAGTGGGTAAACCACCTTCGTGATCATGGTGTCTCCCTTGCCGGGTAAGTACACAATTACAGAGATATTGATTTAGCCCCTGCAATGTGTACAGCTCGATGAAACACCCACGTGGTCATCATTATCTTGGGTATTACTTGTGTGAATATAAAATGATACAGCCACTTTGGAAAAATTGACTTCCAGTTCATTGAATGATTAAACATAGAGTTACCATTTTATCCAGTGATTCCATCCCTAGGTATGTAACCAAGAGCAATGAAAACATATGTCCATATGCCCTGGCTGGTTTTCTCAGTGGTTAGAGCATCGGCCTGCAGTCCAATGAGTTGTGGGTTCGATTCCGGTCAAGGGCACATACCTTGGTTGCAATTCGTCCCCAGCCCTGGTTGAGGTCGTGCAGGAGGCAGCCACTTGATGTGTCCCTTTCAAGTTGATGTTTCTCTCCCTTTCTTCCTTTCTCTCCCTCTCACTCTATCTGAACAAAAATGGAAAAATGTCCTCCAGTGAGGATCAATCAATCAATCAATCAATCAATAAATAAGAAGACATATGTCCATGCAAAAACTTGTATACAGATGTTCATATCAGCATTATTCATAATTGCCAAAAAAGTGGAAACAGCCCAAATGTCTATCAGTGAATGAATGGATAAACAAACTGTGGTATATCTAAGAATGGTTTGGTCATATAAAGGAGTGAAGTATTAATACATGCTACCACATGGATGAACCTTGAAGTTATGCTAACAAACTAGTCATAAAAGACTATATGTTGTATGATTCCATTAATGGGAAATGTCCAGTCTAAGCAAATCTATAGAAACAAAAAGCTTTGTGATTATCCAGGGCTGGCGAGGTTGAGGAAAATGAGGAGTGATTGCTAATGGGTACAGAGTTTCTTTCTGGGACGATGAAAATGTTCTAAAATGGATTGTGAATAAACTAAAAACCATTGAACTGTGCACTTTATTTATTTAATACATATATATTTTAATGTTTTCTTTATTGATGTTAGAGAAAGAGAGGAAAGGAGAGAGAGATGGAAACATTGATGAGAGAGAACATCGACTGGCCACCTCCTGCATGCCTCCCACTGAGGATTGGGCCCCACATCCTGGGCATGTGCCCTGGGCAGGAATCGAACCGGCAACCTCTTGGTGCATAAGTCGACACTCAACCACTGAGCCACACTGGCCAGGCATGAACTGTGCACTTTAAATGGGTGAATTTTATGACATGAATTATATTTCAATAAAGTTGTTTCTTCTTTTTTAAAGCAATGAAATAAAATACATTGCTAGTGAAACAGACACTTTGGGAAAGTTTGGGAGTTTAAAAAAGTTAAACATACTCTTCCCATATTACCCTGCAATCCCATTTACGCATTTACTCAAGAAAAATGAAAAAATTTTAAACAATTATTTATAGCAGCTTTATTCATTACCACCCCAAACCCAAACTACCTAAATGCCTTTAAATAGATAAAATGTGGCACATCCATACAAAGAACACTACCACAATTAAAAAGAAGGAACTGTTGATACATGTAATAACTTGGAAAAAAATTTCAAAAGCATTAATCCAAATAAAAGAGGCCCATGTAAAGGGCTCTCTTTTTATGCCATTTTAGAAAAGGCAAAATTATAAGAACAGAAAAGTTAGAGGAGGTTGCATACAGTGAGGTAACGGGAATATTTGGGGGGATGATGAGAGGGCTCTGCATCTTGATCGGGATGGTTGTTACATGACTGTGTTTGTTAAAATGTATGGAGCTGTACAGTAAAGGGGTTGCATTTTATTGCATATAAATTATAATACATAATTTAAGAATACATTTAGTTCTAAGGAAAAGGGCTCCATCTTTATAAATGAAGGGCAGCAATGTAGAGGCGCAACAAGGACTTTCCGTGTTGCCTTCGATGTAAGTTCAGTGCATATGCTGATGTGTAGCGAGGACTGGTGAAGAGTCAGTAAAATGAAATGTGAGTGTGGTCCAATGAGGAAGGGTTTGTCTGCTACCTCAGAAAGTGGTCCGTAAAGGAGAACCTGGAATCAGATGAGATCCAAAAAACCTTTATAGCTACTATAAGATTGAACTCGCTGTACAAAATGGAGTTGTATTTAGACCTCACCTTTTCCAAGATGAAAAACATACTGGACTTGGTTTGCTTTCTGGGCAGAACCTGGAAAACATCCAGCAAGGGTGGCCTGGACAGAGGAGAGAATTTCGCAGGCTCAACTTCTCAGCGCCGAGAGGAAGTAGCTAGTTTTGAGACATTGGTCCCCATGCCTATCTCCCGCCAGACACAAACTGCCTAAGACCTTCCTGGGGAGTGGGTAGCCCATGGCAACCAGAACGCTGCACCTTGAAGCCGTCCTGGTCTCTGCTGATTTGTGGGATACTGCCATTGTGACGCCAGCTGCGGGTACCAGAGGCCCCAAAAACATCAAGACAACTTTTTGGTTTTTGAGGTAGGAGTTGGTGAAAGTCCTCACACTCCTTACTTGGCCATTGAGGTAACGGTAACAGTTGAGGAGTTGAAGGGAAGAGGGAGGAGAAAGGGGGAAAGAGGGTGTTAATGACCTGGGCTCTAGACCCTAAAAACTTGGCCAGCTGCCCCCATTCCTAGGCCCAGCCTAGGACCTGCAGTCAGGGCTCATGTCAAGAGGAAAGGGTGACATCCCATGTTTGTGGATTGGAAAACTTAATATTGTTAGCATGGCAGTACTCACCCAAATTGAGCTCCAGATTCAACACAACTCCTATCAACGTCCCAGTTGAGTTCTTGCAAAATGAGACAATTTAATCATAAAATTTGTATGCAAATTTAAGGAACTGAGAGTAGCCAAAACAATATTTAAAAAAATAACAAGTCAGGCTGGTGTGACTCAGTGGATTGAGAGTTGTCCCATGGATGAAGAGATCCTGGTTCGATTCCTGGTCAGGATAAATGCCCAGGTTGCTGGCTTGATCCCCAGTGAGGGGTGTGCAGGAGGCAGCTGGTCAATGTTACTCTCACTTGGATGTTTCTATCTCTTTCTCCCTTCCTTTCTCTTTTTAAAAAAATATCAATAAAAACATATTTATACAAAATAACAAAGTTGGAGGATTCACACTTCCGGATTTCAAAACTTTCGACCAAGCTATAGTGATCAAGACATAGCTATATAATACTGGCTAGAAAACTCAGAATGGACTCTTTAACTTAGAATGAACCAAGACCTAAATGTAACAACGTAAGCTATAAAACTCTTGGAAGAAAACACAGATGTGAATCTTGGACTTGGCAATGGTTTCTTAGATATGACACTAAAAGCACAAGTGACAAAAGAAAAAAAAAGTAGATAAACTGGACATCATTAAAATTTAAAGCTTTATGCCCTGGCAGGTTTGGCTCAGTGGTTAGAGCGTCGGCCTGTGGTCCAGAGAGACCCAGGTTCAGTTCCCGCTAAGGGCACGTACCTCAGTTGCAGTTTGTCCTTGGCCCTGGTTGGGTTGTGTGGGTGGCAGCCACTCAATGTGTTTCTTTCACGTTGATGTTTCTCCCCCCACCCCCCACTCTATCTGAACAAAAAAATGGAAAAATGTTTTAGGGTGAGGATAAAAAAATAAAAATAAATTTAAAGCTCTGGCCAGTATGGCTCAGCAATAAGAGCATCACCCATGGACCAAAGAGTCCTGGGTTCGATTTGGGCCAAGGGCATATACCTCAGTTGTGGTTAGTCCCTGGCCCCAGTTGGGGTTGTGCCGGTGGCAGCCAAATGATGCGTTTCTCTCACATCGATGTTTCTCTCTCTCCCTCCAGCTCTATCTGAAGATTAATGTATAAATATCCTCGGGTGAGGATTAGAAAAAAGAAGAAAGAAGTGAAGAGAGCCCAGCTTGTGTGGCTCAGTGGTTGAGCGTCAACCCATGCACCAAGAGGTTGCTGGTTCGGTTCCCAGTTGAGGCACATGCCCAGGTTGTGGACCAAATCCCCATTGCGGGACATGCAGGAGGCGGCTGATCGATGTTCTCTCTCATCGATGCTTCTCTCTCTCTCTTCCTCTCCCTCTAAAATCAATAAAGAAAAAAAATTAAAAAGAAAGTGAAGAGATGATCTACAGAATGGGAGAAAATGTTAGCCAATCATATATCTGATAAGGGACATATATCCAGAATATTTTTAGAAATATTACAAGTAAATAATAAGAACAAATAACACATGAAAAAAACAGGCAAAAGATCCAATTGGATATTTCTCCAAAGTAAATATAAAAATGACTAATAAGCACGTGGAAATGTGTGTGACATCATTACCCATCAGGAAAATGCAAATCAATACCACAAGGAGATACCACTTCACACCCTCTAGCATGGCTATTATACAAAAGACAGATAATAAATGTTAGTGAGGATGTGGAAAAATTAGAACCCTAATACACTACTGATGGGAATGTATAGTGGCACAGTCACTTTGGAAAACAGTCTGGCAATTTCTTTTTTTTTTAATAGGTTTTTTTATGTTTGTTTGTTATTTTCTTTATTTTTTAGAGAAAGGAAAGGAGAGGGAGAGAGAGATAGAAACATTGATAAGAGAGGACGATTTGTCGCCTCCTGCATGCCCCCCACTGGGGATTTGGCCTACAACCTGGGCATGTGCCCTGACCAGGAATCAAACTGGCGACATCTTGGTACATGGGTCGATGCTCAACCACTGAGCCACACTGGCCGGGCAGTCAGGCGATTTCTTCAGACAATTACACATAGGGGTACCATATGGCTCAGCAATTCCACTCTTAGTTACATACTCAACAGAAATTAAATATGTGTCTATTCTTATGTGCATGATGAGCTATATGCACCCCTCTTGGACTGCAGGTGAAGGACTCGGTTATTATTATTTTTTTCTTATTGCTTTTAGAGAGGGAGAGTGAAACATCAATCACTGCCTCCTGCATGCCCCCTACTGGGGATCAAGCCGGTAACCTAGGCATGTGCCCTGACCAAGCATCAAACCAGTGACCTTTTGTTGCTCAACCAACTGAGCCACACCAGCCAGAGCAGGACTCCATTCTTGGTGGGATATAGTAGTAGAGTTAGTCAGGTGCCACATGATTCACATGCTTAAACAGAACAAAGAAGTACACATTGAGTCTGAAACAAGAAAATATTCCCACACAAGCATGGGGGACCAATGCACATTATTGAAGTTGATCTTATGTTGTACCTTCTCCACGTAGGTAAAGCATTGTTCCATCCAGGGCCTCTGTGAGTCAAGTCTTTCTTGGTGAGTCCAACACCTATAAACTACAGATTGGGATGTCATTCTGAGATTGCTACTCCTGGTGACAAGCATTGTGCAAACTGTAGGATTCAATGTGATATTTATAGAACAGCTTTATGAGGTATAGAAACCAACCAACTCAGGGGCTGGACCAAAGGTTGGTTTCTAGGGCTCATGTGGCAATCAACAGTAAGAGAAAAAGTCTACCACAAAACCAGAGGAGCCGGCCTTTGTGCTTTTAAAGGAAGTAAGTGGGAACTATTATGATCTGAGTTTTTCTGTTTCATTTTTCTGTATTTTGCATCTAGTATAACATTTATATAAGCCATAACACCTGTGCCGCCCCCAGCTCACTGAGCTCCAGCCGAAGGAGAAGAGGGGTAAGTAAAGAGGTCTCTATACTATGGCTGGTACAAAGCAGACTGCCCACAAATCCACTGGTGGTAAAGCACTGAGGCTACTCTTCGCAAGAGTGCGCCCTCTACTGTAGGGGTGAAGAAACCTCATCGTTACAAGCCTGGTAACGGTGGCATTTCGTGAAATTAGATGTTATCAGAAGTCCACTGAACTTCTGATTCGCAAACTTCGTTTCCAGTATCTGGTGCGAGAAATTGCTTAGGACTTCAAAACAGATCTGCGCTTCCAGAGTGCAGCTATGGGTGCTTTGCAGGAGGCAAGTGAGGCCATCTGGTTGGCCTTTTTGTAGACACCAACCTGTGTGCTATTCATGCCAAACATGTAACAGTTATGCCAGACATCGACATGAAAGGAACACATCGAGTGGTTGCCACCCACACGACTCATCCAGGGCTAGGGACAAACTGCAACCAAGGTACGCACCCTTAGCGGGAACCGAACCTGGGTCTCGCTGGACCGCAGGCCGACGCTCTAACCGCTGAGGCAAACCGACCAGGGCGCAATTTTTTTTTTTTAATTATCTTCTTCCTGTTATTGGTAGTTCTGAACGTTAGATATTTTATTTCCATGGGGTTAAAAGGTACCTAAGTATATGATTGCAAGTTGAAAATAGGTATTGGCAGTTTTTCCACTTTCATTTGTGTGTGAATTGTTTAAAATATAAATGCGGGGACATAAAGCATGAATGCAAGTCAAAGTGTTTCAGTGAACAGGTTTCAGCTTCAACTTTATAACAATATAAATGAACCTGTTAAATTTTTCTGGACAATGACAGCATTTAGATTTTTTATTTTTTTAATCCTCACCCAAGAATATGTTTACATTTATCTTCAGACAGAGTGGGGGAGAGAGAGAGAGAGAGAGAGAGAGAGAGAGACATCAATTGGTTGCCACCCACACGACCCCAACTGGGCCAGGTATGAACCGCAATCAAGGTACGTGCCCTTGGCTGGGATCAAACCCGGGACTCCTTGGTCCACGGGTCAGTGCTCTAACCACTTGCAAAACCAGCCAGGGCAGCATTTGGATTTTTTAAAAACAAGTAAATTTCTTATTGATGGCAAATATATATACATTTGCATATATATATAAATGTATATGCCATAAACAGAGAATTAATACTTCTCATATGTATCTTTAGCAATCATGTAGAGTTGGACTATATAGAAAACCCAAAGAACAAGTATAATTATTATTATGACTAATATAATCAACAGACAGGTAAAGATTCTTAGTCACCAAAGAATACTGGAGCAAACGCCAGTGAGCGCTTACCAGATGTTGTAGGAACAACAGTGCTTTGCAAGACACAAGCCCCCTCTAGGATCCCTCTCAGGGTTCACCCATTCCAGGGCATTCTTCCCTTTTCCTAGGCCCCCACAAGCTTCTTAGGATCCTTCGCTTTGCCACACTGGACGCCTTGTGGTGCCTATCTCTGCCACTCGGGATTCAGGGATCTGAAACAACTATCGCTATCGTCACATTGGGTATTTGGGTGGGGGAAGCAACTGCCCTTTTTTTTTTTTTTGGAGCTACAGAAAGTTCAGTGTCTTGGGAGCCTGCTATGAAAGAAAGCAGATACCAATTTGTCATCTCTCATTTAACAGCAAAGATTTTGTTCAGACTCTCAGTTAGTGATCCAATTAGAAAGCCAAAAGTAAAAGCAGCCATCCATTTATTCTTCTCCTTTTCCTATATTATCTCAACCCTTATCCACTTTAAGGATTTTTCTAAGAACATCTCAAATAAAGTCAGGATCCACTACCTAAAGCAAGGACACTCAGGATTCTAAAAGAAAACTTACCTAAACTCACCTGATGCAAAACTGGGAGCCAGTGGGACACAATGGGCCTTTGCTTATACCTAGCACCAGGTCTAGGGCCACAGGATGGTCCTGGGTGGGCTCCTTAGGAATCCTGCTGACTATGCCAAGTATATGTCAACATAAGAAATGTCCCAACCTGTAGAGTATTTTTATGAGTTTATTTGAGCCAAACTCATGACAATTGCCAGGAAGAAAGATCTCAAATGCTTTGAAAATGACAAATTTGAATTTTCTTTTATGCATTTGAAGTTAAGAAGGGAATGTAAGCCCTAGCCAGTTTAGCTTAGCAGTTAGAGCATCAGCCCATGGACCAAAGAGTCATGCGTTCGATTCTAGTCAAGGGCATGTACCTTGGTTGCAGTTGGATCCCTGGCCCTGGTTGGGGTCATGCGGGAAGCAATCAATTGATGTGTCTCTTTCACATCGATATTTCTTTCTCTCTCTCTCTCTTTTTCCCTCACTCTCTCCCTTCCTCCCACTCTATCTGAGGATAAATGAAAAAATATCCTCCAGGGAGGATTGGAAAAAAAATGGCGGGGAATTTAGGGGAGGATCTCAATAGAACATTCATTAGCTTTATGCTAATGCACCAAAATGAGATTTCCCCTTAACTTTGTCTGTCTTTGGGTGTGGTTGGCACAAATGGGACTGTTAGAGGAAGTCAACCCCCATTTTAGAAAAAGCAAGCACCCAGGAGATAACCAGACCCTTTTGCTTCCCAGGAGATAACCAGACCCCTTTGCTTCCTAGAGATAACCAGACCTTTTCGCTTCTTGCTTCTATAAGCTGCTTACTGCTCTCGCATCTAAAGAATGTCTGCCCAGCCCGCTATAAAGCTAGGCGCGCCCTATGCCCAGAATTTGGAGACTGCCTCCTCTGGGTCCGCATGCGTGAATAAAGGAACCTCTTCGCTTCCTCCGGTGTTCAGTCTGAGTCTTTTCCGTAACATTTTGGTTCCCTGACCGGGAATCGACTCACATGAGCAGGCGAGTGCTACCAGTGAGGTGGCCCCGCAGGTGCTCCATGGAGCCCTGTGATGGAGGGAAGCATGCACCTCAGTCATTTCGGGTCCCTGCCCATTCCGGGCTCTGCGGCCAGCTGTTGGCGAGGTTCATGCCCCACCTGGGTTGCCAGGGGAAGTGAACAGGTCCAGCTTCAGGGACTGTGCAGCTTCAGGACCAGTGAGTGTCCTGGGGACCAGGAGCCTGAGTACAGGCCCACCCTTGAGGTGGAAGGAGAGACGGATCACCTCTCAGGCCTTCCTGCTGCCAAGTAGGGCAAGCCTTAATGGGAGGGATGTTTAAACTTATTTGAATGTCAGTGCGTGAATGAGTGTGAATGTCTGTGTGGCTCCACCAGTGCAAACCTACGGGTCTGAGTGGGCCCCAACCTGCGGTACCATGGTGACCTCATACAGCTCAGGGCAGTATCAGGTTCTGGGGGACACAGTTCCTCTCTGCAAACCTGATCCAAGTCAGGGGTTTGTACTGACCTGCCAAAGCTAAGAGGCACCTAAATCCCCATGAGGGGAGCAGCCAGGCGGGTGAACCGAAAATCCCCACCCCTTGTCTGTCTGCACTGTTACGGGAGGAGAAACCATGGGAGGGAGCCCATCAACAGTACTCAACTACATGTTGCAGAACGTTGATCAGTTCTGGAGCCAGGATCCAAGCATGACCTCGAGCCAATTGGAAACCTTCTGTTCAGCCGAATGGCCTAGTTTTGGGGTAGGCTGGCCCCCGGAGGGAACCCTCAACCTAGGAATCACACAGGCAGGACATCTGATAGTAACAGGGAGGCCAGGACACCCAGACCAGTGCATCTACATGGATAGACGGCAGGAACTAGCCCAGGACATGCCAAAGTGGCTCCAACGCTGTGCTGGGCAGAAGCTGAAATTGGCAGCGGTAACTGGAACAAAGAAAAAGACCTCACCTTGCCAAACATGGGCAGTCCCTGCCCACATCCTCGTGGCTCAATCTAAGGAGGCACACCAACCTCCCATTCTCAAAGGTGACCCAAAGGAAGAACCACCCGTCCACTTACCCCCCCATATGCACCCAAGATGGTCCCCCAGACCCCAAAATAAAAACTCCACCCCCATCTGTCTCACCAGCACCAGCCCCAGAAGCAACCCCGGCCTCCCTGGTTTCGACAAGACGCCGGCAATGGCAGCCACTCCAGATGCCTCTCAGGGAGACCCAGGCCCTGCCACAAACTGGGCCAGATGGTACCGAGTAGCCAGGATGAACCATCGTTTATTACCAACCGTTCACCACCACTGACCTCAAACTGGAAGCGCCATACTCCGTCCTACTCGGAGAAACCCCAGGCCCTGACTGACCTTATGGAGTCCATCGTGCAGACGCATTGTCCCACCTGGTACGACTGCCGACAGGTACTCCTCACGCTGTTCAACACTGAGGAGCGAAAGCGCATTCTCCAGGAAGCCCACCAATATCTAGAGACCATGGCACCCATGGGCACTTGGGACCCAGCCCAATGGTCAAGAGCAGCAGCACCTGAGGCCCAACCTGACTGGGACCACCACTCAGAAGAAGGAAGGGCCACACTTCAGAGATACAGGGATGCCCTTCTCCGCGGAGTCCGGGCGGGGGGCCCGACGGCCTACAAACATGTCAAGGGTAGCTAATGTGACTCAGCGGCCTGATGAGTGCCCTGGGGATTTCTATGAACGTCTGAGTGAGGCCTATAGGATATACATCCCGTTCAATCCTGAAGGGCCAGACAACCAGAGAATAGTCAACACGGCGTTTGTCTCCCAATCAGCCTCAGACATAGGAAGAAGCTTCAGAAACTCGAGGGCTTTGCCGGAATGAACATAAGCCAACTAACAGAGGTTGCCAACAAGGTGTACAATAACAGAGAGGAGGCAGCCGAGCGGGAGGCTCGAGAAAGAATGAAGAAAAAGGCAGCCCTCCTAGCAGCCATGCTAGGAAAGCCCCTGCCACCCAGGAAAGGCCAGCGGCCAGAAGGAAAGAACAAGCCTGCACACTGGGGTGTGGAACCAGACCAATGTGCATACTGCAGAGAAAGGGGACACTGGAAGAGAGAGTGTCCCAACCGAAAGAAGAAAAGGCAGGCCGATAGGCAATCGGGACCTGAGACCCAGGCACCTACCATGCTCAGTCTGGCAGGCCTAGACTCGGACTAGGGGAGACCGGGCTCACTACATCTCGGCCCCCATGAGCCCATGGTCCAAATGCCAGTAGGGGGCCAAACCCTCCCCTTCTTGGTAGACACTGGGGCAGAACACTCAGTAGTAAACAACCGCGGTTGCACCTCCCTCAGGGCACGAGATCTCTATCATTGGTGCCACCGGACAGCCTAGTGGCCCCAAACAGTTTTGTCAAGCCTGAACTGTAGAATTTGGGTGCCACCAGGTAAAGCACGAATTCCTGTACATGCCAGAGTGCCCGGTTCTGCTCCTGGGATGTGACCTGCTTTCTAAGCTAAGAGCCCAGATCTCCTTTCACCCACTGGGAGAAGCTCACTTACAAGTTGGCACCCCACCCTAGCTGGTTTGGCTCAGTGGTTAGAGCGTCGGCCTGCAGACTGTAGAGTCCCAGGTTCGGTTCCCGCTAAGGGCACATACCTCCGTTGCAGTTTGTCCCCAGCCTAGTTGGGGTTGTGTGGGTGGCAGCCACTCAATGTGTCTCTCTCACATCAATGTTTCTCTCTCTCTCTTCCCCTCCTTTCTCCTTCCTGTTCTATCTGAAGATAAATGCAAAAATGTCCTTGGGTGAGGATAAAAAAAAACAACAACAAGTTGGCACCCTACACCTCATAGCAGTCTTAGTTCTTCAGGAAGAAGAGTATCGACTATATAAGGAAGTGGAGGAAGGCCAATGGGAGCCCCCAGAGGGAAGGGGGATTGACCTTCGAAAGAGATACCCAAAGGGCCGGGCAGAAGACAACCCGCCAGGATTGGAAGGGAACCATTCGCCTATAATTATAGAACTGAAGCCGGGAGCCAGACCGAAACAGATCCGCCAGTACTCCATCCCCAGGAAGGCCAGGCTAGGCATCGCAGAGGTCATCCAGAGCATCTGAGGGAAGGATACTTGTCCCAGGCCAGTCCCCTGGAACACTCCCTTGCCGCCAGTGAAGACGCCAGATGGGAGAGGGTACAGGCTGGTGCAGGACCTGCGAGCAGTGAACGAGGCGACAATCGCACTGCACCCCGTGGTACCGAACCCCTACACGCTCCTCAGCCAGCTCCCGCCGGAGGCGGCCAGTTCACCTGTTTGGACTTGAAGGACACCTTTTTCTGCCTCCGACTTGCAAAGGTGAGCCAACCACTCTTTGCTTTTGAATGGGAAGACCCTTACACTGCGGCAAAGACCCAACTGACCTGGACCAGATTGCCACAGGATTTAAGAATTCACCCACTCTCTTCGGAGAGGCCCTGGTCAGAGACTTAACGTTCTACACCGATGGGAGCGGGTACACGACTGAGGGGAAATAAATGGTGGGGTACGCTGTCGTGGACAATGAGAAAATAATTGAAGCAAAGCCCCTGCTGGCCGGCTGGTCCACCCAAAGGTCAGAACTCTGGGCATTAATTAGGGC